GAGTCTTTTAGAAAAATTAAAAGTTCGGAATTTTAGCTTTCTTATATATTGCATTTTATTATTATTCCTTACGTTTGCTTCCTACTCTAGTAAGGAAATAGCACGTAAACGGTTAACAGGTCAAAATCCTCATACTGCACGTCGAGTTTCTGGTCTCGATTTTCCTCTTTAGTTTCTGCAAAGTAAACCTCACTGTCCGCCAGCGGCATCTGCATGTGCCGAGGTCTCGAAGGTCAGACAAAACTTAAACCACCTTGGGGACACACCTCAGAAATGGCAACATTCTGGGCGGAGGACGGCATTTCTCTATCTTTGCCATTAAAAACCTTTGCCCTTCTCTTTTGCCGCTGCTCGTGAAGAAACAAAACAACAACGACGACTACGATAAAGATGAAAAAAAAAAAAAAAAAAAGTTAAAGAACTATGTTATAGAACTCGAAATGTTCACAAACGCTCAACGGGAAATCTCATCACGTGCTTCATTTCAGAGTCGGCGGGTTGTCACAGGTCCAATTAGGGCTCGGGTTAGGGTGTTGTCGTCGCCGACAATAGAACGTCGTGGTTCGAAGGGTTTATCATCGGCATCAAAGGGTCTGGGAGGGCCCGAAAGGAGGGCCACGCCCTTGATAGAAGGCCCCTGGCGACGGGCACAGAGGCGCCGATTCATTCTCCGCCGAATGCTTTCAGTCGAACAGCGGCATCTTATCGATAATAAAATTCATAAGCTCTTCGTGAACCCTAATCTATCACTCAAATAATGCAGTTTAAACAGGAAAAAATTAAGAGGCAATTGTTTCCGGGTAAATGTAAACTAATAAATAAAATGGCAAAGGAATTAATTTCAGAATTTCTTTCTATAGCTTTCAAAAGAATCCGAGACATTTTAGATTCTGATATGGTAGCGATGACTTTTTGAATATAAACAAATCAATTCCAAATATTTAGGCAATGGAGCAATTGCTTTTGTTTCATTATTCTAATTAATGGCAAAAAAGGTGTATATCGTATAAGGTATTTCTCCCACCTTCTTAGCATGCCTTCGTGGTGTAATGGTCAGCACACTTGGCGTGTATTCGAGAGGTCCGTGGTTCGAGTCCCGGCGAGGGCACTGCTCATTTTTTCATGTCTCCTGCTTCGAAATAACCTTATGTCTTTACAGTGGCGCCCGAACTAAAAAAGAAGGTGGATGCTGATTCTCCACCACCAAGATTTGGCGACTGGGTTCCCTTATCTCCAATCGCCCTTTAAAATGGGGATTATATAAGGTATTTCTCCCGCCTGCTTGGTGTGGTGGTCAGCACGCTCGGCGCGTATTCGAGAAGTGGTGGTTCGAGTCCCGTTGACGGCATTGCACATATTTCACATCACCTACTTCCAAAAAATACCTAATACCTAATGTCTCCACAATCGTAAATTTTATCTGGGAGATTGAGGTAACTTCACACAGTGAAAACACGCATCAGATAAATATGCTGTTTTATTTTTACTAACTAAAAAGCTGTTTTTGAAAAGGGAGAGAAAATTTATTCTTCTTTATTTACGTTCAGCTATTAAAAAAACTATTACCAATGCTTTACCTGCTTCCGAATAACAGTTTTATTATCACGATTATGCAGAAGAATTAGGTATATATTGTAGAAAAGTCTCCGGACTTACACTCACACAGTTGAATATTGTAGAATTAGGTATATATTGCTACATGAAAATGCCAATACTCACTGGAGTTGAGTAGCTGATGCTTGAAAAAGTGCGTAGCAGAAAATTTTAGTTATTAAATATCCATATTTGCGGCTGGTTCGAAGCAATAGTTCGATATTCGATGAATGAAGGAACTCAGGAGGCAAGAAAGACCCTTTACATTTCATAAAAGAAAGGAAATTAGTCTCAAATTTCGAAGGGGGAGGAGAACTTAGTAATTAATCGGATACCTACCAAAATGTTGGCATTATTTTGCTGTTGTTGTTGTGATTATCTCGCTTGTCTGAAATCAGAACAAGCCACAAAATTCGTCATGACAAGGAGGCAAGATTGCGGGCCTATCGTTGGTAAGCGCCATGGGCACCATATAGGTGACAATATGACTTCCGCCCTTCCCGGGCCCACCAGGGGCCGAGCGGTAAAGTCGCTGAACACTGATAGTTCGGTCGGAGGTTCGAATCCCGCGAACGGGCTGGCTGCATGGATGTTTTCGTGGTTTTCCCCATTAGTAAACGTGTATACGAGCCAGTTTCTCTTAGAAAGTCCTCCACGAAGGCTTCCTTTCCCTTAGGCAGATAGCCCTCGAAGCTTTGCCGTAATTAAATAACCTAATCTAACCTCACTTCCGCCCCCGATTCTGATGGATAGCGCCCTGGGTGTCGGGTCCGGGGAACTCCCACCCCTCTTCTTCTACCACCAACCTCTCGAGAGGGCTTTCGGCTTTCCTGCATATTTGACCCTATGCCGCACAGATACTGCACATTTACAAACATCCATGCCTTCTTCGGGATTCGAACCCGGGCTCTTCAATATGGCAGTTAAAGTCAGTAATGGTTCTCAGATCTCGGTTGAGCGACATGTATTATTTTAAAAAAAGCTCATTATGTAGGAAGTGCACAACTAAACGCTCAAACCAGTGTAATAGCGTACGGCTCCATCACCCTCATTCTGTTATATAATCATTACATCACGTTTCCTTTCCCTTCTTTCTTCATTTATTGGGTTCTTTACAAGTAAATGAGCAGTCTATACAGGTGGAAATGACATAAAGATCCATTTATCATGTCTTATTACTCTCATTTATCTGTGAATGTTTGCTGTAGTGAATGGAATGTGTACCTGATAAGATAAGGCAATAGCAGCTCATACGTTGAAATGCATTTGCTCTATTTTAGACACATTTAGCACACCAGACGAATTATCTGGGATTGAAATTTTATTTTGTGAATTATCCGAGAGCAGTTCGGAAACTAGCCTCTTGTGGTGTGGCGCTAGTAGTAGTGGGCGGAGCGCAACCATTTTTACACCAAAGCAATCTGTGATTCAGTAAACTTCCTACTTCACTAATGAGAGCGTCGTACTGCAGGGCGTGTGCTGGTAATAACGTCAGAAAATGTGCGTTGCTATTGAAAATCCCGCTAAATGCGAGGTAAGGAGTAATATGATTTATTTGGGCAAAAGCAAAACTGTCAACGGCAGATATTCATCATGAGTTGTGTGTCGTATACGGCCCAAAACATTACGAGTGAAGGTGTAGTGCGTCAGTGAGTGAGTGAGATTTTCAAAGAAGAACAAACATTCATGATGAATCAACGAGTGGAAACTAACATGGGTTTCGCTGTTATCTCGACCATCTATCGAGAGTGACGATCTCATCAAATAAATTGACGACAAAATTTGTCAGTTCCATCGATTCACGATTTGGGAACTTTCACAATTTCCGAACATTTCCCGGACTGTTTCCTACGAGATAGTCACCGGAAAATTAGGCTACAGAAAGTTCTGTGCTCGATGGTTATCGAAAATTCTTACGGATACCCGCAAAACCAATCTAATGGACGCTCATTTACCACATGGAATTAGAGGAGGTTTTGAAGAAAATAGTGACTGGCGAAGAGACTTGGTTAGCGCATGAGAATGACTGAGACAAAACAGTGAATGGCAGGTCTTCTCCGACCCGGCTGAGGAAAGCTCATCGAACATTGCCAGTGAGGTCAGTTTCAGGATGCTAATGGAATCCTGCTTGTCGAATTCACGGAACGACGTGGTACAACAATCAATTCTGAAGTTTTCCGTAACACTTTGAGGAAAGTGAAAAGAGCCATCCACAAGAAACGTCACCGGTGTGCTGACATCTGGGCTTCTGTTCCTTCACGATAACGCTCGTCCGCACAGTGATCAGCAGAAGATCTATTGCGTTAGTTCAAATGGGACGTGTTTCAGCATCCCCCTACAGACTGGAATTGGCTCCTTCTGATTACTTCCTTGCAATCAGGGGCGTAGCTTGAGGGGAGCAAGAGGGGCATCTGTCCCCGGGCGCAAAATCCAAGGGGCGCCAAACTGATGTTACGACATTTTAGAATTAAATGTTTTCCATCCTTGGCAAGCAGTAGGGGGCGTGAAATCTTCAGTTGTTCCTGGGCGCTGAAAACCCTAGCTACGAATCTGCTTGAAATGAAGAAGTGGCTTGGTTAACAAGTTAAAGTTAGTTGAATTTGCTGTAACAAGTTAGTTGAATTTGCAAGCGGCTGACTCTTATGCAAAAGGGATTGGCAAGTTGGTGCTATGATGAATGCTTGAGTAAACAAGGTGAATGTGTTGAGAAATAGAGAACAGCTGTAAAAAAATAAAAAGATCGTTGAATCTATGCCGGTTTTTTACGTACAGCGAAACCCATGTTAGTTTCCAAACTGTCCTGGTATTACATTCATTCTTAGGCATACTTAGTTGTAAGTACGGACGACTACAACTTAGGCAGGGAATAACCATTAATAATGTTTAATCGTTACAGATAATCATTTTTACAGCCTCATATGACGTTGATCGTACAATTTTATCAATGAAGACAGATTTGACTAATGCCAATCATTAAACACCTATCACTGCGATCCAGAATTTTTTCTGTTTCTAATATACTATCCAAGATTTCGTAGAACAATGTCATAAACATACTTTCTAATTGATATTTTTTCTTACTTTGAGATTTCCGTTACACCTGAGTGCGGACGCGAAAAACGTCACGTAGCAACTATTTCCACTGGTTAGAAATCCAAGCTCCCAAGTTTCAGCTGTCGATGAAGAATGATTTCCTACGTGAGATTCTTTGCGGTTTTCTCAGACGCGAACTGAAATCAGATTCTCCTGCATAAACCTCCAAGAAAGTCACCTATTTCAAAGGAAGTAATTCGCACCCTCCTTTATCATAATTAACTAAAGTTCCCAATATTTCTTGAAAACGGCAGAAGGAAAACCACAAAGCAGAAGGTTTTTACGGGGTAAAGTTAGAAAATGTCATAACTTACGTAATTGATCTCTAAGTTCTTTCGCTTGCTCTAGGGATTTCTCTTCTGATGATCAATTTTCTTACAGAAAATTGCGGTATAATGTAATTATATCTAGTTCAGCTTTCAGGATCCTGCAAATAAATCAGTTTTTGATTAAAAAATCTGATGTGCACACCACATGACTTCTTTGTACGGAATTTTAAATTATACGAATTTTTTCTTGCATTTCATTTAAACTTATTGGATTGAATTAAACCTACTTCGCCGACAGCGAATAAACCACAATAGAATAAATACATTCTTTAAAATTCACTATAGTATTTGTTTACCATAGCGACACTCTGACGCTAGATTCACTTAACAGTATTATATCTCGTTCATATTATAACTCATAATGCACAAAATTTATATCATTTAAAGAACAGAATTATCTAATCGTTGCCACATGTTCTATTCAAATACTATAATAAAGCTAGAACTATGTATAAAAGAAATTAAGCAAAGAAAACAAAACAGCAACAGTTTTTCACAGACGATTGAGTATTTCTCATTTAATTAATTCAGTTCTCACTTTGCGAAAAAGCAAAAATACATAAAAACTCAAAATATCTATATTAAAAATTACGAAGTAAATCTCAAACGCTTATTTCCTCGAAAAAATTCCAGAAAGAATTAAGCATGATTTAATTGGCAATAATAAATGTACACGTTATCGTTGTTGTTGCGAAGCTAAGTTTCTCTAGATTGGCAACAAATGCACTAGTCTCCTGTTTCAAATGTAAACGTAATGGCCGCCATTAAAAAAGGCTTAGCGGCACTTAAACAACTTTAAAATTGTTGATAATTCTAAAAGTATTGCACACAGATTTACTAAAGGCATAAAAACCTTAAACCGGATGATAAAAACAACTAATTCAATCATTTTAAAGCAAAAAATGTACAATGTACAAACATATAAGAGTAAAGAAAACTGAGATTACTGAGTGGGGTAACAGAGTGGATATATTATAAATATATTTATATACGTTTGGTGCGGCCGATTGCAACCAAAATACGAGGTGCACATCTACATGTTATAGCCAGTGCTATATACAAAATTTCAAAGTTCTGAGGCTACTCGTTTTTGAGTTATGTGAGATAGTACGTACGCACATACGTACATACGTTCGTACGGACACCGCAAAAAAATCTCTTCAGAATTCATTTTTAAAGCAGTTTTATAATTTTTTTGAAGGAAAAGAGTATTTTATTCTGTCCTTACGTACAGATATCACGCAAAACCATCGTTAAATTGCATCGATAGCGGTCAAATGGATATTTCGTTGAATATGCTGCTGAAACTTTCGCGATTACAATACTTCCTTTTTACTTCGTACAAGGAAGTAAAAATGAAGAGGAGTATACCATCTTAACTTTTATTTAGATACAACCAGCGGAAGTATGCCAGTTATGTTAGATTGAGAGTAATGTATCTATCATTATACAGAACGATACCGCCGTAATCCTTCTGCAATAACTATGCAAAAAAAAAAAAAAAAAAAAAAAAAAAAAGATTCATAGTCATACATTTTTTAGTCTGATGCGATATGAAGCCCACATAAAAAGATTCGAAAGAAAAATAAACTAATTCTCTCTCATCATATCCACCAACAATGGCACGCAGTTTTAGATGATTTTCATCTTTCTAATCAAATGGTCGTAAAAGCTCAAATTCTAGCCAATATTTCCCCTATATTCAATTTTAGTCGATTTAATGTGGCAAAAAATTGATTAAAATTGATCATAATTGATCAGAAATCAGTAACGTGAACAAGCAAACCAACACACATTCTTCTTTATATATATATATATAGATTTTCTAAAACTTAAAAATTTTTGAATAACAAACTCTACGATTGAAAGCGAGCGTGGCAACACTTTTGAATAAAGCATTTTTAGCTCCCAACGGCGAGACTGTTGCCCTCGGAAAATGAGTGCGAAAATGAGGTTTCAGAGTTTTAATTAATTATCTCGGGATTAAGTCGTACGAAGATGCGAACAGTCGAAATGGCTTCACACGAATTTTTGGAATCGGGAATTATGTATTTAATGTTTGGCAATGCTATTTTTATCTCATCGTAAAACTTCGAAATTTTTCGTTAACAAACTCTACGATTTGAGAACGAGCAGTGGCAACACTTGTCGAAATAAAGCAGATTTTTATCCCCAGCGTACAAGACTGTTGCCACTTGGAAAAATGAGGGCGAAAAATTAGCGTTTTCAGAGTTTTTATCAATATGTCTGATTTTAGCTATTCCCCCCCTTGAAAAAAGTAGACGTTGACCTTGCCCAGGACCCGGAAAGAACTGTAGAAAGTTTGGTGACGATAGCTACAGTAGCGATTTAGTTAATAGCGAAAAAACAAACACATAGCACATAGACATTCATCTTTATATAGAGTGATAATATCATTTAATTGGTGTTAAAATCTCCATGCTTTTTTTTAAATGCTTAACATAGCAGATAACATGACTCCTGAGTTTTCATGATCTTCCGCATGGGTAATGTTGCATCAGGTTCTTCTATTTACAATAAAATTTATGTAAAATTCCTTACCTGCTGATCTTCCTGTTCGACGCGAGGCTCTAATAATACGTTTTCCGTAGGGTTTCTATAGAAGTGACAGGCCATCTTGTCTTTTACTTATTTATTGAAATAGACACAATATACACTGTTACAAGTAGGTGATAAGATTTTAGGAGTATTTTAATGTTTTTGAGTCTGACGTTTCGTCTTTACGCTCCTCAGAGTGGTTCCAATCTAGCCTCGTTCTCAGAACTCAATTACAGCAAAAGTAAAGGAAGAGATGCCCGCCATCTAGTGGCAAGAATGTGACAGGTAACATGAATATGACCCCCCTTTATCAAGGAAGTTATGAAGTTCTAGTTATTCCAATTCTAATGAAATTTTGCATGCTTGACCTTCAAAACAAGAGGAAAGTCGTTCTCTATATACCATTTCGAAGAATGGACCCCACGGAGTCCATGTTCAAGGAGTTTAAATCAGAACATTGTTATTACCTCACCCATCTTAGGCTCACGTCGTCGTAGTTGCGTTTCCGCTGTCAGTGGAGTGTCCCATATTTAACAAAATTTCAGCGTTTTACGACTATTCGTTTTTGAGTTATGCGAGATACGTACGAGATACGTACGCAAGATAAATTAAAAAAGGACAGTCTGTACCTCTTTAAGTCTCAGACTAAGCAGAAACTCGAAAGCATCTAAGCAGCCAACTTGTTCTCGCTAAAAATGAGCTTCAAGACTTTTTTTAAAAAAATTTCTTGGGGGGGGGGCGAGTCACTCTAATTTCAACTCCACGTGTTCAAAAAAACTACACAAGTAAGGTTTACACGAGTAAGTTTTAGCACTAAAATAAATAAATAAATGTACAATAGCACTGCAATTTGGGGAAAATAGCACTGCAATTTGGCACAATAGAATTCTTTAAATATATTTATTACGAAATATTGATTAGGTACTCCTAATATAAATTTTGAATACAGTCAGGGACCCATAAGTAGGAAATTTAATTCCGAAATTGTTTTTTAAAGGAACTTCAATGTAAATCATGAAAAAACTTTTTAGGGATTTGAATTTAAGTCATGAATAACAAAATTGAAAATTTGAAAAAAAATTAAAAAATAAAAAAAGTAATTATTGTATTGATCGGAAATAGTCACTTTTCAAGGGGAACAAACAAACTCCCGTCCAATGACAATAATTAATAATGCGAAGTGTTTGTCTTTTACTCAATAAATATGATGTGCCAAACTGGCATATTAAGTTAGCTAAATTTTAGTTCCTGACTGCTAATATGTGAATACCAGACTTTCCCGAAAAAATAGAGGTGAAGACCTAGATTGTAGTAGTTATAAAATCAGACGATAAGTTTAAAAAAACAGGATCCCTAATTATTATTCAGGAGAAATAGCAGTTACAAAACAGATATTCCGGAGTAAAATAAAAGAATATAATAACTTTTGTATGAAGTTTACTGCTCGTGACATTAGAAAAGCCCCCGATTCTTTGCGAGTCCTTTGAAACCTCTAAAGGCGGGGTTCAAGAAATGACCAGCCATCAGTTCGCTTTAATATTTCCAACATTCTAAAACTGTACGTGTAGAAAAGACGGGTAAAACAACTGACTACGGGGGTGATTCCACCTACTTCAAATAAGAGACGCGCCATAAAAATAAAAAGAACAAACAGTTAGAATTTAAGGATTCTAGACTATGAATTTTATTATTATATACAGGGGGTTGGACAAAATTGGAACACCTTTAAAAAACATGTTTTTTGCTTAATATGGGTAGGAACCCGTTGGCATCCAAAACAGCTTGCAGTCTTCTCGGAATGGATAAATACATTCTGTATTTGTCAAGGGAATATTATACCATTCTTCTGCAAACGGTGGCAAGTTCATAACGATTGTTGGCGTGGATAACGAGAACGCACTTTCCGTTCCAATGTAGACCACAAAAGTTCGATAATATTCAGGTCTGGTGCTGTGGTGCTTAGGGAGATGGGACAACTCATCCTCGTGCTCAGAAACAGCCTGGACAATGGTGAGCTGTGGAACAGGGGCCTTGTCATCTTGGACACCATCACCATCGGGGAAACAAAGTACCATGGGATGAACTTATCGGCCAAAATGCTCACATAAGTCTTGGCAGTCATGTGCCCTGACACAGTTATCATGGGCTAGCAGAGAACCACGATATGGCTGCCCAACCATAACAGAACCCCCCATGTTTCACTCTGGCAACAATCACTCTGTATTATAGGCTTGAGATGGCGTTCTTCAGACGTAAAACTCGGCCAGAAGTGGGAAACAATGTGAAAGAAGGGACTCGTCAGACATATTACTCGCTTCCACTGCTCTATAGTCCAGGCTTTATGACTTAAACACCACCTTTTCTGTTACGGGCATTAGCATCACTGATGAGTGGCTTCTCAATTGCAGCACGGCCAGCAATTCCCTGTTTATGGAGCCCCTTCTAATTGTTTTGGTACTCACAGGGTTCGGTAAACAAACATTCATTTCAGCAGTAACTTTTGCAGCTGTGGTCTTCTTATTTTTCGTCACAATTGCCC